CGTCTTGCATTTTTAAAGTTCCATTTAATATTATTAAATTCCTTGAAATAAATACCCGTGTTTCCCTAAAGCTTTAGCTATTTCTACAGTATTCCATTTGCATTTGTTCATATCCCCATTGGGCTGCAAAATATCTTCTTAAACATTTTCAACTGAAGTAAATAGAAGCCACCTTTTTTTGGGCCATCGAATGGACTATTAAGGATATTATTACACATATTTTATGAGATTTCGGTTAAGGCAACACTTGATTTGGACCTGCAGCAACACTAATTTGGTAAATCACGTTCTGGCAAAGTGCTTCTTGGGTGTTGCTTGGATTAAAGGGGTGGAAAAGTTAGCCGGATCGCAGTCATGGGCGCTTTGGTATATCCATGAAAACCGGACCTCTGGCCATAATGGGCATGTAATTTATTTTTGGTTGTGGACATTCTATATTTGGTCGAATGGGCCATGTTAAATGCCAAGCTGTGTTGTTGTTAACGCTTTTTTCTGAACGCTGCGAAAGGCATGTGGAGACAACCTTTTGTTGGTGGTCTTTTCTTTTCTGGTATTTTATTTTATTGCTAAAAAATCGTTTGCTTTATTATATTTTGGTCGCCTTTTTCTATTTTCCTGGCTTGGCCTGGCTGTTGGTTAGTAGAGTTGGGTTTTTATGATTTTCAGTTTCATCTGAGTTGCTCTGGCGCGTCGAAAGGTTCCTGTGGCTGCGCTGTAGCTGCTCCTGTCCATCCAGTAACGTATCGTGGTGGAATGGGTTAGTTGTCTTCGGGTCGGGTTCGCTGGGTTCATGCTCGTATGGTATGGCCCATTAAATTGGCCATATTTTCTGCTCATAAGCAGACGCTGGCAACGCATAGTTTATGTTAGGGTCCATCCGCGCCTACTCTCTGTTGTGTTGAGAAGTTTTGCTCAATGAGTTGGAATCATAAAGGGGTGTGGTTCTTTGGGCACAACTTCTTTTGTGGAAGGGTAAGGTACTTTAATAAGTGAAATCTCTATTTGAAATATTTGCTCTAGTCTCCCGGCGAGTTTGTAGCAAACATTTCTGCCAAACAATCTGATCTTCTGTATAGTTTGGAATAGTATTGGGGCAAACCTTCTACCCAAAAGATTTCTGATTCTTTCTTAACATTCAGGGAGCCCAGGGACTTCCACTCCATCTGCTTCGCCAGCTTCTGGCTCCATTTTCCATTTTCCATTTACCATTTCAATTCAATTACATTTCCAAAGCAGAAGAAGAACTTAAAGTGATGAATTGCACTGCCAGTCCCAGTGGTAGCGCAGTGGCAGAAATAGTCTATTGAACTTTGACTTCGGCCAATGGTAACGTGGTGATGATGAAGCTAGCGATGGGGACTGGTGGGGGTTATGGAAATCAGCATGCCATTGCTGGCTTCGGTTTGCATTGTAAGTGCATATAAATTATTTTTTGAGCGGCAGGCAAAGGAAATACGTAACAGTCGGGGCGGGGCGGGGCGGGATGCCACAACCAAGGCGTGTACGGGTTTTAAGGGAACAACACGCCCTTACATGCACATACGAGTATCTCGTACATCTCCTAGCAACCTCATGAATATTGTCGAAGCTGTTCGCTGTCGTTGTTTGTTCTCGCCCTCGCCTGGACGTTTCTCTTCGTTCCTATATGACATTGTTCGTGTTGCATATTTATATATTTAAAACTGGTAAACACTTTTGCCGATCACATGCAGAGTGCCTTTGTCTCTGCGCCTCTTTCAATGTGTCGCCTGTCGGCAAAGCAACCAAAAACCAAACATAAATCATCTGAAGCACTCGCATAAATAATAAATCCATACAGGCACTCTTTCGCGAGCGATTTTCCATAGTTAACGTGAATTATTTTCGCATTAAAGTACTAACAATTTGTACACTGCTGCCATTTAAAAGTCGGTCTTATACATCTAGTAATCAGCAAGCCCAGGAAAGCTTTATTAGAACTGGCGCAAAATCATTGTTATACCCGAAAATCCTTACCGAAAATAAATACAGCCACTTCTTCGTTGTTGCCTTAACCGAGCGAAATGGGCAGTAAATTCTTGTCACATGCAAAAGAAAACACTCGCCAACTCCTTCTGCTTGTTCCCTTGGAAAGGGCTCGCAGTTTGTCATCAACTTTTAGCGGTTAGCCTTACTAAAAAATGTTCCCAAAAATCCACTTGTACAAATATTAATTTTCCGGCATTGCGAAAACTGTCGCCAGCTCTCGCTGGCTCTAAAACAACACCAACAGGCGGAGGCAGAGGCAGTGGCAGCCAAGAAAGTCTGGCCGAAACATGGCTAGGAACATTTGAGCACATAATTCTTATTTCCAGCCGCAAAATAAAAACTGAAAGAGCAAGGACAGAGGCAAGAGGGTAGCAAAAGAAGGACAGTGCTGGGAAAAAACAATTTCTCCTTTTCGCAAAACGAATTCATAATTCATTGAGCCAGCTGTAGGGCGGGGCTCACTCGCTAGACGCAACTGAATGAGTGGCGAGCACACCACACCCAGCTTTTGGTATCATTTACGCCATGCATTTTGGCCATTTTCATCTCTAGGCCCTTGCCCCCAAGCCCAAGCCCAAGCCCAAGCCCGACCACCTCCCTCCCCTTTAGCATGCAAAAAGCATTTTTTTGCTCTGTGCGCTGAAAATTAATTTGCTCACGCGCCAAACGGAAAAACTGCCCGGAACTCCCAGTCTCTGGAGTCCGAAAAAATGGTTTCATCTGCAATGCGACGCAAACAGTTGCCCATTTTCGACTGACTGCCTCACCATTCTGCCCATTCGCGCTTTCCCTCCATTTGCGCTGAACCCGTGTCTGAGCTGGTCGTTCATTTTATGCGACGACCATCGCATAAATTTCATGAAATTTCATACGTCAATACATACCACTGGCGGATGGTGAATAGTGGCAAAACGAGTGGGAAAGCGGCCAAAATTGGCAAGCAAAATGCGAGACAATTCTGCGGATGGCTGGTACTTGAGCTGATTAGACGGACCACAACTCGTCGTTTTTCACTGCAATTGCAATGAAAATGATTCGTTTGCCGATTGCCGTTGTTCAAGTGGCGTATGCTCAATATTTCCATCGGGCAGCGTGCCAAGAAATAAAGTTTTTTACCTTCAACTTCGGGCAGGTTGCAAGCTACATTTTTGAGTGGATTCGTTGTTGCGGCTGAGGCAAGTGACCCATAAAATGCACCACAATTGGCCGCCAACTGTTGCAACCTTCCTGTTTGCCCCGAGCAGCTGTCCCTCGTCATCGCTTTATGCACACCATTTCTACATATTTTCCGGTAGGGTAGGGCTGGTTCAATTGCAGCTTAAACGCTGCTTTGTGCACTCCCTCGGACACATTTTTGACAGCGATTTGTTCTGCTCTGACTGGTTTCTTGGCGTCAATGCATTTGAACCGACTTCTGAGACAGAAGGCAAAATGTGGAGCTGATTAAATTAAAATGAAATCCAGATTATTTTGTGTTACAATCTCATATGTTTTTAGAGTCAAGATTTATATTTTGGTGAGCAAGAAAGCGGAAGACTTATGAGGAAACCAATTTTATGTTGCGTACTCATATGTTAGCTTTAGCTTTAAACAAATTCTTTCCATTGACATGTCAGAACAGCAAACCCGGCCCAGGACCTCGGACAAAATGCAGAGAAACTATTATCTTTTTTTTACTTCAAATTCAACTGTCAGCTGGAGACCGAAGTTTGACAGGAAAGCAAATAAACCCCGAGGAAAGAAGGGAGTGGGAATCAGATATATGAATGGTTCCTATTCCTATTCTGTGCATTTATTGTCTTTGTCTCTCGTGCAGGCAGGCAGTAACATTTTTCCAGAGCTGCCAAAAACGGTTGCAATATCAAACCAATTGACATTCGGACTGCTCTCAGACTGCCCGGAGCTCGCTTGGGAAAAGTAATTGCGTGGTACCAACTTGATTTTCTTTTTTTGTATGACTATTTTCTTATACAAAAACTTTTGTATGCAAAATGCAAAGATTCGAGAAAGTTTTGACATAAATATGAATAACCCTTTTTGTTCTGATCCTGCCTGGCTTGGCCGGGTCTGTGGTATGGTCTGGACTGTGGTCTGGTTTGTCCTGCTTAACAGGAAATGCCATAAATGTCCCGCACATGTCCGTCAACGTCAGAAGTAGAGGCTCAAACAGTGGCTTGCATGGCATTTGCATTTCGCATCCTGCTGTCCTGCAGCTGCCTCAATTCCAGGTCGGGAGGGACACTTGTGTGTTTATCGTTTTGCATACGCATTATTTATTAAGATTGCCAGGGAGAGAGTTGGACGGGCACTTGCTGAGGAGTGTGGGAGAGTCTGTATAATCATTGCAGCTTTGTCTCTGCATTAAGTAGGCCGGCCTTTCGTCCATTTACGAGCTCGGACAACCGAAGAGCAAGAGCACTTGAGGCAAGGGCAACAGCATCTATACGGGGGCTGGCAGCTGGTCAAATTCCTACGAGCGATTAGCATGCAAAATGTTTCGGGGCTTACTGCTTTAGCAAAACTAATTAGTTTGAGTAATTGAAACTAGAATTCAGACAATAGCTTTGAGAGTCTTTCCCCCTTTGCTACTAGCTTCAGGCTTTGGACTGCAGTTGCATTTCGTAATTGTTGATTCAGATATTGAGATGGGAGGGCGAAACAATCTGATGGAGATAAATTGAGCTAGCAAATGTTCGATGAGAGAAGTTAAAGAGCTAATGATAATGGAAAATGGACTGCTGAAGCTGCAAACTAGACTTTGGACCAAACATTCAATAAATTGTCAAGAGTTAATGTCTATAAATTGATGCTCCATGAGGGGAGAAGGTTCAAAGTTAAATGAATAGAATTTTCGTCAATGGAAAGTTCACTAAATTATTCACAGCCATAATGTTTGGTTGGTTGTTTAATTACATTGAAACTTACTTGTAAATTCAAGGAGAAATTAACATTAACATTAATTAACAAATATCCTTTTATTTTTCTCATTGCAGCCAACAATTTTGGGACACAGCAAAGAGGAGCAACACCAGAATAATAGCAAAGCCAAATGCTACGAAGCACTGCCATATACAACTGCAAGTGATTGCACGGCGAGGACTCGTCATTTACAAATAAGAACATACACAAATATAGGATAAGAAGCAACTGGAGTAGAGGAAATTTTTACAAAATCAGAGACTACGGACAACTTGAGAGGCAAGAGGCAAAACACTGGAAGAAAAGCAACAGCAGCAGCAGCAGCAAGAGCAACATCAACCAATTAGGAACTTGTTTTTAAAAGATCTCACAACAGCAACAACAAAAAACACGAAAAGTGTAATAATTTACAAGACTCTGTGTCTCACACTTTTGAAGCCAAAGGAGAAGCAAAAGCATAAGGCAAAAGCACAAGCACAAAACCGACGCTAAAGTGTAAACTTTTATAATAGGCAAACAAAAGAAAAAGCAAATAAAACGCTCTTAGGGTTGTAAAGGAAACGAGCAAACAAGAGGAAAGCCATAATAATATTGCAGTGGTTGGCAAACAATAAAACACATACTCGCCATATTGATAAAAGCAAAAACGTTGAGAATCTCATAGTATTAGAAAGTATTAAGGACAACCAAACCAAAGCGAACAAAGTCGGGGAAAATGTAAGCTGCAGCAGCTGGATAAGGCAGAAGAAATCCCTAAATTAAATTATTATAATCTAGTGGAGGGAGCAGTGGAGGGCAGAAACATATCCGCTGGCAACATCCAACACGAGAGAGACTATGAAAAATGCACAACTGAAGCTGAGTGACGTTGACGATGATGATGAGCTGTGGCTGGCAGTCAGATTAGCGCAGTGCAGCAACAGCAGCAGAAGCAGGAGCAACAAAAACAACCAGCAACTTTCCCAACTGCAACTAAGGAGCTTAAGTAAAAAAAACTACAGCACTGTAGCACGGCAAAATGTAGCCTGCAAAGCGAGCAACAATGGACAGCAACAGTCGCTAGGCAGCAACATGTTGTCGCCACAGGCAGCTGCTGCAGTGGCAGTGGGAGCAGCAGCACCAGGAGCAACAAAAGAAACAGTTTCTACCGGCAATCATGCAACAACCCAACAACAGACAAACATAAGACTGTGCGCACGCAAGCGACAAAGAATGCGTCGACGACGAAAAAGAAAACCAGAAATAGTATCAGAAGCAGCAGAAGCAGAATTTGCACAGGAATTCACAACAGCAACACAAACAAAAACAAAAACAGAAACAGAAATAGTAGAAACATCTAGCAATATCAACATTAGCAACAATTTATGGCCAATAGCAACCTACATGCAGTGCCGCAGCAGCAACAATCCATCAATAATGCCTGACATTTCGCCAGCAACATTCAGCTGCTTGCTCCAAGTGTTGTTCGTGAGCGTGCAACAGCGAGCGGAAGTCCTGCTTAGAGGAATCGTAAGCTGCACCACCGTCATCATTTCCTACTTAAACAGGATTGCAACACTGCTGAGAAGAAGAGGCAGTCAGAGCAGCAGCAACCAAAGCAACAGCAACAGCAGCAGCAGCAGCAGCAGCCACAGCAGCAGTGCGAAAATAATTAACGGACTTAATAAACACTCATGGATATTTTTATTGATATATTTGAATTTATCTGCTAAAGGTGAGTGCCACTAGAGAACCCTATTCAATTTAGCCCACAAGTGCCAGACCACTTAAGTGAGTGGCATGCAACAGCCTAGCCATTCGCCTGCAACGCCAAGCAACAGTTGCCATTGTTTGGCATCAGGAGCAACAGAGGCGGGCCCATAATGCACGCCGGCAACATATTGTCACTTTGACACATAAAACCACTCATGAGTGGGATATTTTGTGGGCCTACGATGTCGTTGTCGTTGCCGGTGCTCCCCTTGCTGAATGCCATTGTTGCTTGTTAGTTGTGACATTTACGACAGCCTCAAGTGAGGCAACACAACAGCCTTCTCAGACCAGTCTATGCCACTTGAAAGCGTTGAAAGCTGTGTCTGTGCCTCAGGATGTTTTCCCGTCTTTTTTTTTTGTCTCCGCCACTTTTAAAGTCCTTGTTCGGGGTTACCGAGTGGCGGTCGGTATTTGCCGTGTTGCACAAATGGCTTTGTGTAAATGGTTAATCAAAAAGTAAACTCTGTCACTTCAAATGTAAAACTAGAGCCATGACTAATTTAATACAATTTCTACTGGTAGTTGACCCACATTTTCATCCGAAAAACTATTTTGAGGAATGTGTGGCTTGGGTAAAAGTTGCCATGTCGTAAATACTTCCATGAGGCATTTTCTTCCCCAGCAAATTCCCATCTCAAGTATCTGCAGCTACATGCATCGCTCCATGCATGCATGTGTGTGGTTTGGAAAATCTTTTTAATGGTTTCGGGTTTTTCCCTGCTCTAGAAGCTTAAATTCTTTGTCACGGCAGCAATATTTTAAGCGAGACAAGGACCAAGTTTGGTTAGAAGCTCGAGTGCCTGCCATGCCATTAGTAAAAAAAAAAGAATGGAAAAGAAGCACCTGCCGTGGGTAGGTAGAGTTGTGCGAGGAGTGAATGCCACTTACACATATTGAGGTTATTAATGGCTACCCATATGGCCTAGGTCAGGGAGTGGGAAAAAGATTGAAAGTGTTGCCAATGTTTCAGCGCCTGCTTGGGCTGTGGCACAAAATAAGCCGCTTGTTCGTGTCGCGGCTTGCGTGCAAAGGTATGAAATAACATAAAGCACAGTGGCAAAAGAAGATTCAACATTCGAATTACATTTTCTTATATTTCAATAAATACTTACTAGTAATTGTTTCCTGTTCAGGAGACGTTCTATTTCGTATAAAAATAAATACAAATTTTTCCATTGTACAATGTATTTTGAACCACTGTGCTGAATGCATGTGGTGTCTGCGTGTGTGTTTGTGTGTGCTCTGGAAACGTCTTTGTCTTTACAGTCGAAGTCGTTTCATTCCCTGCTCCTTTAGCTGTCTGTCGTTTTGGCTTTGAGTTCATGTTTCATGCAACACCAAAAGCAACAGCAACAACAGCAACATAAGTTTCAACAACAATTGCCGTCGGTCCGACGTATGCGTGTGCATGTTTATGATTTTATGGCAGCACTTCCGTTTCCGCCCTGGCCATATTGTGTAGCTTTGCTCTTCTCTCCCCATGGCTGCCAGCGCTAATCAGATTTAAACTTTGAACAACGTCAACGTTGCTTACACCAGCTGCATGTGTGACCGTGTGTATGCTCCTTTCTCTGTCCGTACTGTACAGTACGTATCCGTGTGGTTGTTAGTGTACTTGTTGTATTCATGAGTGTGTTGAGTATGCGCTTGGCCCTCTGACATCGTTCATACGCCCCGTTGGCCAGCCAAGTGCTCCTCTGCGTACCCCTGCCTCTCTCTCCCTCTCCCTCTCCCTCTCTCTCTCTATCTGCTTTGCTCTCTGGTCATGTTTTGTAAGTATGACATTTATTGCTACGGAAAGGCTTTTGGCATGCTTCAAGAATTCAAGACTTTTGCTCATTTGACAGGATTCCGGCCCCACTCCATGCCATCCCATCAACGGGAGATGACTAAGTTGATTTTATTTCTGTTGCGATAACGAACATGGGCAAGATGAAATCGTGGAATGTACTCAGTTTATAAAAAGACAATTTTTAATAATAAAATAATATTCCTCAACATTTGCTTACGTTAAAGGTGAAAAGTCGTCAGCAGTTGAAGGAAGAGAAACGATTTTTAGCTTGTATTTGCTTTCTCGGTACTGTGGAAAATTATGTTCTCAGTGGCAGTGCCGTTTTCCTTATTAGAGGCATAGGAAAATGGAAATTGTCCCATAGTTAACAATCCACTGGCTGAGATAGTCTCATGGATTATCTAAAAACTGTCGCACATGTCAACACCCTCTCAGCTCTATCAATCTATATTTCCAGACATGTCGGCTCGCATACGATAAATGTCACAAGTTCCCTTCCATCATTAGCTAAAGGGTTGTACAAGAAAGAAAAAAAACATAATGTCATGCCTGCCTTTTGCATTATGGAATACACGCACTCGTCCACATGGGCCCATCATCCAAATACAAATAATCCCCCCAATCCATCCGCACACAGCCTCAAACGTATCACAAAGGATCCGGATCAGCGCTAAGGCAGGGATGTAGGGGGCCTGAACTAAAATCAATCATCAAATACGATAGCATTCATAATTTTCAATAGTGGACACAAGACATTTTGATTGATGGCTCTGCCAGGAGTTGCCAGGATTGTCGGGAAACCTTCTTTGTAGCAGAAGTATCCACTCTCGCCTATCCGTCCATCTGTGCATCGATTTGTTTCACTTTTTTTGAAGCCTACTCTTGTCTCAGGTTACACTCCATCTTCTTCATCCCTTCAACAAAATAAAAGTAAAAAAAAAACAAAACTGGAAAGAGGAAAACAAGAAAGTCATAAGCAATTAAATGCTTTCCCAGCATCCAGGCCCCATTCAATTAAGGGCAGCTATAGGGGTATATGGGGATGCACAATACAGAAAGTAATCTTATAGAGAGCGAGAAATGGTGAGATGTAGGAGATGGGGGCTAGAACAGTGTAAGCAACCCCTTGTTGTTGCTGGAATTTTTATTGCATAATTTAAGCTTTGAATGGTTAAGCGTCACCTTGGAGCTATTAAAATGCTCGCTTCTCCGGTTGCTGGTCCGTGCCCTCTGTCTCGTGCTCCCTACTCCCTCTACGGCCATTAGCAGGTGCGACCAATGCGGAGTGGGTGCGGTGCCAGCCAGCAGGAATAAAAGTCACGGCAGACAGCTATCAGGCTTCATATTTTTCTGCCCCCTTCTTATCTCTTTTTGCTGTGTTTCTCCGTGCCTCATTTTGTATTGGCTTTTGCTGGCTTAAGTGTTTTGGCGCCGAGTCAGTTTACGTTTTGCTTTCAATTTTTAATACTAGCGGACAGCGCGGGTCGGAATATTTTTCAAACATACATGGAAAATATACTCCTATGCCTACTCTCACTTGCAATGTTTTGGATGTGCATAATAGGACGATCACTAACATGCAGTGGATATGCCTGTAGGTTCGGTTGATAACCATTTGATGATGTGGTCGTTTAGGGGAAAGAGTATGGCTGATTTATGGCTGTTGTTAGGGTATATTTAGGTCTGAAAGTTTTCAGTTTTTTCATCGGATAAAAATGACCAATAATTATAATTATAATTTTACCAATATTCAACCTACGCGGCTTTAGTTTTTTTCAAATTGTATACTATTAATTTTTACGAGTTTCACTATGATTTCTTTAAGTGAATTCGAAGGAATTCCCATCCACAAATGCATAAATTAAGAACTCTCAATGGCATATTTGCTAGAAAATTTGCTCCTGAAAAAGTTTGCACTACGCTTTGGTGTATTGGTTATCTCCAAGTCGAAGTCCACGTAGAGTATTTCTCTTATCTTCATAACCAAGAAGCAACAAACTTCTTGTTTCTCTCTTGCACGCTTCTCCTTTCTGCTCGTTTCGTGGAGCAATCGGGCAATTTCATGTCGTTATTATTGCTGTTTTCGTTGTTGTCATTGCTTTGTGTGTGTATTCGGGCAGCTGCATTTTCTAACCAATTTTGGTCGGTTTTTATTTTGAACATTAAATTGCACGCCGCCGCTCCATGCCATGCCATTGCGGCGGTGGCTTTGGCATAGTCTGAGTCGGCTCCGTCCTCCAGTCGGCTGTGTTCAGCGCTCTGCAGCTGTTGCCGCGTTTGCTGCTTCTCTCTGTCTGCGTGTATCCCTTGCTGCTGCTGCTGTCTCGGTCTGGCCCAGGACTTGAATTGGCTTTGTGAAATAGCAATTACTTTTTCATGCTCCACTGCAATAAAATTGCAATTTTATGCGGCCTGCCGACAACAACAGCAGCAGCAGAAGCGGTAAAAGAAAAAAACGAACAGAAATAACGAAACGGAAGTGCAGCTATTGAAAAGGCATTTCGAAATGGCAGCAGTCTACCCCGAAACAGTGGGATGTGCCGAGAGACGACATGGGGATGATGGAGGTTGAGGTGTAGGCCAAGTTGAAGATGATGCAACAAAAATGGAAAGTTAATGACTCCCGACATTGTCCATGTCAGTCATTAACGAGTGTCCTTCGGGCAAGGAGATGGCAAGGCCTTATGGCACACTTCAGGGGAGAATTTTCTCATCCACGTCGATAGGTATCTTCTATTAAGGAAGTTTTCTGAAAAGTGTGTGCCAGTTTTGGGCGGGTTCATCCTGTGCATTGGATGTTTGTAGATTTTTTGCTGATGGTTTTTCGATGGTGCCCAAAACAAAGAAATATTAAAACAAAAGTCTCGTCTTCGGATGACGCAACCAAAAGTCGGCAAAAGTGTCCTTTGTGCTCAGTTACAATGAAAGTGCCCCAAAGCTCCTACTTCTCTCTCTCTCTCTCTCTCTCTCTCTGCGCCTCTGTTGTCTCGCTCATCCTCATATTTGTTTTATTATCACATTCATTTTGACACTTCATCAGACGTTGCCCCGTTTTGTGTGTGTGTGTGTGTGTGTGTGTGTGCCGTCTCTTTCTGGGTCCTCTGTTGCCCTCCTGTTGCTTTGTGTTGTGCTCCCCTCTCTTTCATAATTTCTCTTTTTTTATCCTTTCTCTATGCGTTGGTGTCAATGCTTTGCCTTAAAGGCCCAGTTAGTTGCCCTGCCCCTTGCCATCCCCCCAACATCATTGTTGGCCCGTGCTCGTTAGCTGCAGTTTTTCCTCTGCTTTTCCTTTTGGCTGCAGGCTCGTCATTTTATTTTAATATTAAATGAACAAGGAAGCAGAGAGCGTGAAAAGCGAATGAAAAATGCAAAAACCGTAGAAGAAAGTAGGCAAAAAGCTGACCAACGCAGGGAGAGAGAGAGAGAGAAAAAAGACTAAAGGCAAATTAAAACTAAAAAATTCATGTGAATAATTTTTAAATGCTGTTCATTTTGTATGCAAATCTTTTGGGTTAAGCGAGCTAAGCTCAAAGAAAAGTGAAAAGTTTTCCATGTACAACAGAAACTTTGCTGGCAGCAGAAAAGAAAACGCCGGGAAACAAGTGTGAAATGTAATTAAACCTTAAATAAGTTAAATGAAATTTCTATGCAGAAAAAGTAAATCAATTTGGGATTACTTTAACTTTCAAGAACTTCATTGGGTGGACATTTTCAGAGATTATTTTCACATCGCAAACGATTTTCACTGTCATCGTTGCACATGAACTGCGTTCCCAATCGCTCAGCTCAATAAATCTCTTAGCCACAGATGCTCAGTGTCTGCTTAAAAGAGTGATTGCAGGATGGTGGGGACAGGGGAAAAGCCTTAAGAAATTATTAAATTGAGAGGCAAAGAGCAAGCAAGCAAGTTTGCTCCTTCCCATCTACTTTCTTTTGTAGTTTCTCCTATAGTCCACATTCATGCATAAATAATTCTCTGATAACGATGCGAATATGTCTTTCTATACACTTACAAGTGTGCACACACATATTTACGTGTGTCTCTATGTAATATCTGTGTGAGGCAATCTATTATCGCCAGTGAAAAACGGACCAAGAAAATTTGTATGTGAAAAAGTTTTGCTCAATAAAAGTTTCCTTTTGTTATGCGACTGCCAGAGAACAATGAGAAGAGAGAGAGAGAGTGGGAGAGGCAGGGGGGACATGACCTAGCAAAAGGACAGAGAAGGATATCTTACATATGGAAGCCTGCTGGCAAAAAGGACAACCGAAACGCAAACTTTCTGCCAGCCATTGAGACTTCTGGTTCTGGTTCTGGTTCTGCTGTTGCCTTTCCAATTCAACGCCGAAAGCTCAACCCGCATGCACACACATAAGACCAGAATCCGAACGCAAACCTAAGATAGGGACCATGAACAGGACTCAGACCAAGACCAATCCAAAAACCAAGGAACAAGTTGCAAAATCCAAGAACCAGTAAACTTTCGTATATCAATAAATGTAGTTGCTGCAACTGTCGACCCAGACCTCATCTCACTCCACTCACTCCTTTGTCCCCACAAGTATTATTGATGTTTATTTGCGGCATTTCTGTGAATTGGCAAAAATCCTTCTCCTCTTTCCCAGTCCCAATCTTATTCCCCATTTAAGGTAATTCAACTAATTCTTTGTTTTACTTTCAGTTTGCCTAGCAGGATATCATGAAAAGAGACTGTTACATGATCTTTTGGATCCATATAATACACTAGAACGTCCCGTTCTCAATGAATCGGACCCGTTACAATTAAGCTTTGGTTTAACTTTAATGCAAATTATTGATGTGGTAAGTAGCAATCAAAACTAATATGAATTAGGTGATTACAAATATTTTAGATGGATGTATTTATTTTCATTCACATTATATTCAACAACTTCACAAAAATCACTTGTCTCTATTAAATCAGGTATTTTATAGTAGAATAACAGGGAAGTTGGTAAAGGATATAATAATAATATACAAGTATGCTGGAGACTGCTTTCTTGTCGTATACGCTCTAAAAAGAATTTGAATTCCAAAGTGTAACCACAAAAAGCAAATAATAAGAGCTACTTCTTTACATTTGAGCACGTAGCTCTAGCTCCAGTTGTCTGTAACAAGTAATATGCATATATTGTGGCATCATCATCCATATGGTGCAGTTCAGTGTTGTCTGCACAGAGTTCAATGATTGAATTGAGAAGGAAATAACTATTCTATGATTGAATAACGTGAAACAATTTATACATCGCTACATATATGTATGTAAATATTTCCAAAGTAGCGCTACAGTACGGCATACAATATAAATTCCTCAATGCTCTTTCGGCTCTAATTTTCACTTGAAACAGCCGTGAGCTCCCAGTTTCGAAAGGCGCCTTAAAGTATGCGCCAAGTTTCACACAAAACAGAATCCCTGATGACACAATTTCGTTTTGTATAAAAAAGTGAATACCCAAGAAAGTGAAATTTTAATTATTTGCCCAAGAAAAAGAGAGAGAGAGAGAGAGAATCTGCCGCACAAGAACGTGCAGCAGCAGCTGCATATACACCTGCACCTGTGTGTCCTGTCTGTTGGCTGTTCCTTGAATGGCAGCTGGCGTTTCTTTCCGCACCACCTCTGGCCTATATACAGACAGGACATACATATCCTGCCTGACTGGCACTGTCGAGAAAATTACATGCAACGTCATGTGGCACGTGCGGTGTTTGACTCATTCTCACCTTCAAGGAGTGGGAGGTGGGAGGTGCAGGACGGTGCGGAGAACACCCGCCGACACCGCCTCCTGCATTCATCAGTTGAAAAAAACTTTTCTGCAACTCACAATTGCGTGGAGGCCAGCGATGAAAAAGGGAAAACTCCCAGAGAGAAAGGTAGAAAGGGCAAAATGTTGGTGGAGACTGTTATAAGACTTTTGTTAGTGAGACAACCTCAATTCATATTAGATCTACATTGCATTTGGATGGTGTGTATCTGAGTGAGAGTTGTTTGTTTGGCCATGCCTCTAACTCTGTCTCTGTCTCTGTCTCTGCCAGTGCCGTGCCTGCGAGTCCCGCACAAAGTTGGGATCCAGCAAAATGGAGCGCACAAACAAAGGGCTCTCACACCCACTCCCACTCGCACTCACACTCACAGTCAGTCATATGAGGCTTGAAAAGAAAAACAGCAACCAGCTGAAAGACTGAAAGACTGCTTCTGGCATACGCAGCAGAAGTAAAAAAAATAAAAAAAAAAGCAGCGGGAATAAAATAAAAATGAAAACGATCCCAGACGCTAGAACACTGCGCATTCAGTGACGCGTTAAAAGTCACACATACAAGCGCAAGCAGCGAAAAAGCATTGCAGAGTACACTGAGCAAAATTGTTTACTGGTGTACCCTTGGAACTGTTCTCCGCGTAGACTTAATGTTGCTTAAAGGCGACTTGAGCTTAAACTCGCCTAGAGTGGGAGTTCTCCTTTCCAAGGAAGGCCAGAAGGCGAGTATACTCTGATTTTGTTCAGTGCATTTACAATACGAGCACATACAGCACACTCGCACACACTTGGCATGCAAATAAAATGAATAAATAAAATTTGCACATGTGTTGTTCACACCTTCTGCCAAAACATATAAACCAGAGGGCTGCCGGGGACTCGTTTGGCTGGGCCGTCTGGGGGGTCTGGGTAAAGCAATGAAGTACGACTGCTGCTGGTTGCTGGTGCAAAATGAAGTTGAAAGAACAAACGGGGCACAATGCGTTGCCACCGCCACCGTCGTTTGTTGTTGCCACGGTTGGTGGCAGTAAAAACTGCAGCACGCACACTTAAAGCGCAGTCGCAATTACATGAAACAGTGCAGAGGAACAGGGGGGCGAGCATAAATACCAAAATCGGGTCATTTGGGTAGCAGGCAAGTAGGTATTGGGGAGCAGTTACCACCTTTCCACCACGCAAGAAATGCGGTTTATGGGAACCGCACCGAACTGGGACATACTCAAACTTTTATTGGACTGTATAACTGTACAACTCGCGGAATTATGTAGATGTCATGGCAATCAAGTGTTGCTAATGCCAGATGTGAAGTCGTTATCGAGGGAAATTAGTTGCATGTGGCGCAACAATGTGAAAGTCGCGATAATAAATGATAAGGCCTCTGCCCTCTACCAAGTCCGTAGTGCTGTAAAGAAGAGATTCCTCTTGGCCTCGTGGCACACTCAGTTGCAAGTCACCAATGCCATTAGTTTTCCATTGGGAAATCGAAGCATTTGACAGTGGCAATATTTTAACTGTTAAATGCAGTTTGCTCCAGCTTCAGCAGCACTTGCATATTTTTTGGAACCTGCCAGCCGGCAGCCTCTGCAGCAGCTGGGTCTCCATGCAATTTACAGATTTGGCACCTGCCATGATAGACCATTCCTCCTCTTCCCATTTCCCTTGTCGAGTCCGGCAGCAGGAGCTTCAATTCAATTTAAACTAGGGCAGGAGAGGTCACACCTAGCAGATTGTAGAGAGCCCTTTGGCTTTCATCAATTTCACTTATCTGCCAACGTCAACGTCATCGTCTTCGATAACTTCAGACTGCTTCAGAGGACCTACTCCGGCACTACGGTTATCTGTCACTTTGCCCGGTGAATCTGTGGAAGCTATTAAATCATGGGCCCGAGAAAGAATAGCAGTTTCAGTTTAATCTAAAGTTGGCATCTGGAATGCACTTTTATCGCCTCTTTCATAATTGCTCCCAGAGCAGGTCTACTGTAAGAAAAGACTGCCTTTGTTTACACAAGTGTTCGTATTCCTTTCTTTTTCTTTGGCTGTGTGAAAATTGCATTGAATATTCGTATGTTTGAAATTGATGTGCAGTGTGTGCCTGGTTGGTCTTTGCACTTTGTCACTGGTATGAGTATGAGCCACGCCAGGCACCGAGATTAGGATGCAATCATGTTGCACCGCACCCTGCTGCAGAAGCACTCGACAGAGTTATCAATGGTCCCTTCACCTACCGGTACTCGTATTCATTTCGGCAGCGTAAACAGGACTCACTCGCACTCACTCGCAGAGGAGATAGTTTTGGCCATGCTCGGCATACTTTTCAAACGATTTCAATGCATTTTTGGCTCTCTGTGGTAGTGGGGAGAGCTATACTCACTTTCCCTTTGATTGATGTTGTTGCATGTTCAAATGACTCGACGAGGTTGTCTCTCAATTTCCCGCTCCACACGTACAACTCTGTTAAATGAGTACAGTCCATGACGCACACACACACACTGGATGGTGCTGGACAGGAAGCTCGTAACGTCCAATCCATTGAATTTGCTAGGGGATGGCTTGTGGTCGGAATAAGGGCAGCACTTTGACCCACTGTTGACAGTAATGTCGGGCAGGAGTGCAAATTAAAGGGAAAATGCTGATGTCTAATTGATGGCAAAATGCTTTTCAGTTCGAGTTCACCTTTCTTTGGATAATTATTCGACTGCCCAAGTGGTTCGTTCAACAACAAAATAATTTTCAATTGGTGGAATCAAACGATGGGAACCCCGAGTGGCACCCCGAACCCGGGCACACGTTCCCTTGGCTTTTTTATAACGGTTGCGATTGCGTTTATGTGTTGGAAAGATATAAATACCATAAGTACATTTGCATATACGAGTAGATCTGGTCTCCGGGTAATGCCTTGTAAATATTTGCCGTCAGCTATCATTCTGATAATGGAGTTTCAAATGTTTGCCATTCATGCTCATAAACGTGATGGAAAAGCCAACTCCGCCGAAAAGTCTGTTGTCGTGTCGTGCCGTGGATGAGCCGCCCTTAAAATGTGCAAAGAGCCACGCCCACACGGCAGTTTAATTGCATTTGCGGAGTGCGAGCATGGCACGCACGGCCTCGAAGGCAAAATAACTTCTTGCACTCAGTTTCAATTAATTTCTGGTCTCCGTGCGAAGCGGAAGGAATGAATATAAAAGTGTTTTCTTTTTTTTAATTAAATGCGCCGAGAGAATGCAATTTCCAGACTAAAGTATACTCCATATAATACGTATTGACTGGCGCAACAAGATTGAAATAATGAGCACGTTGATCGGGCCACTTAAGTTGCTGAATGGGAAAGAAATATTTGTGCGAGTCAATGCGAATTTTTCGTTTTACGATTGCACAAATGCCATTAAGAACCAGAAAAAGGAGTGAATGCAAAGGCTGCGGTAGTGAAGAAGTTACTTACTCTAGAGTGCAATTTCATTCCACCAAGAATGCAATTAAGTATAAATATTTAAGGAGTATGTATGTTCAGTAACTTAACAAATAAATAAATAGTTTGAGCTTGACCGATTTGTGCGAAATTAAGTATTAAAATGGATCTAGCATCCCCCAAATCTGTGTCTTGGATCATTAAGATATTAATATCGGAATTAGCAGCGTTAGTTTTTGCCAGTTGAACCTATCTACCCTCCGAAATCCTCCTTGCAAAGTATGTAAGTCCCCATCATTGATTTAACCGAATAAACATACTCTCGGCATTCACTGTAATCAACCAGAATGACAAATGAAATGGGAATAATCGAAAGGCATGTTGAAGAAAATGTGAAAGCAAAAGCCGAGGAGGGGAATGAAAAGCAAAGAGATCATTGAGCAGCAGAAAGAAGCACTGAAGTTTCCTGTCGTGACCTCTGCGGAAGAAAACCCCAGAGTGGTAGCTACCGAGGGGGCTTGGGGAAAGTAAGAGTACATATAAAACAACTCCCGGGCGCATTAATTAAAAAGGCGCAGACAAAGCGAGGCGTAGATTAATTGGCGTCAATGGAAGCCGGCAAAAGAAGCGGCACAACAAGGAAACCGTCCCAGATACAGATAAGGGCCAAGACGCTAGGAGCAAGCCGAAGTATGCGGTTGAGTGGGATGGGTTGGGCTGGGTTGGGGTGCAACGGTGGGAAGGAAAGTGATTAAGTAGATGCAGGGTGAGAGGGGGCAGGATATCAACGGATATCAGCGGAAAATGAGTAATGAAGTCGAGCTGGGGCAGCCATTTTTTATGCACACAGGACAAAGAGAAACTAGGCCTCTGTCTGCGTCTGTGTATCACTGCATGGATGCGTGTCTATGTGTGTGTGTCTGTGCGTCGGGAATGAGTTGCGCGTTTTATGCCACAGTTGTATATACCCGGTACTCGTAGAGTTCCACGGTATATTGAGATTCCGCCATTTAGGAAATTAAGAATATAATTTAAGGGAAAGAAAATCACATTTTGGATGCATAAATTTATAAATTGCAATTAGAATAAGGATGATAAACTCGTATCTATTAGTTGGTTTTATCGTTCCCAAGTAACGAGTATCTTATAGTCGAGGCGTCAACTCTACTGCTCTTACTCGTTCTGTTTCGAGTTGCGTTTTTAAATTCCCCGAACGCTCTTGCCTTGCCATGTCAATGAACCGACTCCGCCTATGGCTCTGTGTGTGGATCTGTGGCTGTTTCTGTTTCTGTGCCTGTGCGTGTTGTGTACCGCACATATGTGTGTACACATACATCTACATATATGCATATGTATGTATGTACGCCTCTGCTCTGTTTGTGTACATGCAAATTTCCGCGTGCCGAAACTTGTCTTTGGCCTGGTCGAAGCCAGCGCAGAGCAGAGCAAAAAAAATAAAAATGTGAAAAAATAAAAGCTCTTGGGTTGTAATAATTTTGCCGTTTGCTTTTTCTGCTCATTTAAAATTCAACAACTTCCGCTCATGGCCTGCCATTTATTTATACTTTTCCTTTACCGCAGATACTCATACACAGACATTGTAGACACGTATCTACATATACTCATACTCATACACCATTTGAATGCGAATAAGCTTCGTTTATGGTAGTTCTGTTTTGTGCAGAAAACTACCAAAAGCAGCAAACGACCACACCTCTCCCTTCAGGCCATTCATCTGCTGGCTGCAGCAAGCAAAAAGCGACCGCTACCAAAAGGAGTCATAATTTTCCTACTTCTGCATGCACTCGTCTGGTCTCGGCGCTGTTTCTTTTCCCTCACTTGATAATTCTCTAGCTACCCCTTCAGGAGGTATCACAGATTTGCTGAGACGTTTGCTTACAACTTACATCTTTGAAAAACTTTCGAACAATATTAAAACAACTTTAAACAACTCTTTTAAAAAGGATGCAATACATAAAGATTTAGCCAGTTAAATTGAATAATTAATTATGCTTAATGCGAATATGCAGCAATCTACTCTCATTTATTAAATCTAATCGGATGTGTTTTTAATGGCTAAATTTTAAATAATTCATTTATTTAATTTTGGTACCAGACAATAAAGAACACATTAGAGTATGATTAATTCGTTTTATTCTACCCCAGGCTAGGTCTCCTGCATTTTCTGTTATTTACATTTTAATTAAATTTTGTGCAATGCAAGCTCGCTCAGTCATTTTGCGGTTTACCATTATAATTGTATAAAACATTTCTGTATTGCTGCAAATGAACACTCGCATATAAAATGCAAATTGGAAGTGGAATTCAAGCTAGAAATAGAGGGAAGTGACAGAAAAAGAAGCGCTACCTAACGAAGGGGAAATTGTAAAGAGAAGTCAACGTCCCGTAACCAGAAAGGGCCACCAGTTGATTGGGAGTGGACTCTTCGTCTGACACTTAAAGATGAAGCAAAAACATATTTAAGCAAATTGAAGATTAAATTTAAAAAAAAAATGTACATGCGGCAGTAGATTACAGCGAGCGAATTATACAGCTTTGCACCTATCTGAATCTGAAACACTCAACCATCTGACGATAGCATCCATGGACGTTGTCGGGGAATGCTAAATGAATTATGGTGCTGGAAACCACCCGAAAATGCACTTCATGTGTAAGCCGACAAAATTAGTGAGCGTTAACAAAACTCAATTTGTAAAAACGGAATTTTATTAGTCCTCGCTCGCTCAGTGCTCAGTGCTCAGACTTCGGGGGCAGGAGCAGGAGCAAAGCCGTGGCATACTTTTCGTCGACCGGTATTTGTGTGTGTCTGCTGCGGTTTCAGTCGCAAAGCGCACCGCAAAATATGAGTCCGTTTCCGTGTGTGTGTGTGGGGGCCAGAGGCAGCTGCCTATTTGAAATGGACTCTGCTGCAGTCAAGTGCAATAATGTAATGGCTATATTTAGCTGAACCCACACAGAGACACGTACCATGTTTGCTCCTGCGCTGCGTGATGACCGCAATATAACCAAGTCCTGCCACGTCTCTCCTTTACAATGTTCAATTTGCCGCATGCTTCGATTTCCCCCCTTCCAACCTTCCACTGTGCGGGTATCCACCAAAAAGCATATTGAATCGCCTACGGGCTTGCTTCTGTGGCTGTATCCTCTGTCCTGTGTCCTATGCCCTGTGTGTGCTCGCAGCAGCAGTTGCAGTGGAGTCATGTAGCTAGGAATCGGTGGCTCCATTTCATCTCTACCGCATTTCTGTCGCATATTTGAGCCCATTTTGTGATTGCACTTGCACACTGACTAACGGAAATTGTTCGGCCAAAATATTTGTGCAATGCGATGCCGGTGCTCAGTCCGAGTCCTTTCTGTTCAGCTCTGTTCCGCTCCGTTTCGTCTCGTTTCGTTTTGTCCCTACAGCTCCTAACGCCCTTTGTTAGTTACGCGCCAGAGATTTTGTTTTTCGCAGTTGTTTTCATTTCATTTTCATTTTACCCAGCTTTTGGAGCTGCTTTCCGCTGCCGCTGTTTCTGTTGCTGTTGCTGTTGCTGTCCGAGTGGACCATGAATATTTCAGGCATTTAATTGTAAATTACACATACGCCCAGTGTGCAGTTGGTGAATTTTTTAAGAGCAGCTGGCCATCTCCTGTGTTTGCCGCTGCCGTTTTATTGTAATACACGGATTTGGTTATTGGGGCGCATCCCAGGGGCCAGTTGGTTAGATTGCATTTAAAAATGTAACTCTCTTGATTAAAGTTCAGGGAAAAATTGTCAGGTTTACCGGCTTTACCTTTATAGTGTTCAAATGTTCGGATGGAGGCTTGAAAGTATGCAAAGGGATCTATAAAAGATAGAAGGTATTACTTATGTCTGGATATATTGCAAAATATTACTCTCATAAAAATCGCACATCCATTACCCGAAAATATTGGGATCTGTTTTTCTGGCTGCATCGTGATTCATCTGTAAAATTGTAAAAACAAAAATTTGTTTAATTTATTAAAAGAAAATAGTTTTTCTTTATCCAATCAGGACAGCTGTTTACAGTTTCTACAATTTCCAATCAGATTCAGTTCGAATCAACCTCAGATTTATTTTCTGCTTTCATTTGCCATTTTACATGCATGAGCGGGTAACCAACCAATTCCCACCGCAGGTCGTCGCATCCGTTGCGGCAGGAAATACTTACAAAAAAAAAATAAATAACCGTGCAAACTTTTCGCTGAATAAAGTCATATGCGAGTTCGTACAATTTTTTGTGTTAATTAATAATATTTGATTGCGAGCGGCGAGTGTAATGAACTTCCTGTTTGGAATACCTTTTTTTCAGGACGAGAAAAATCAATTGCTTGTCACGAATGTGTGGCTGAAACTGGAGTGGAACGACATGAACCTCCGCTGGAACACCTCCGACTACGGGGGAGTGAAGGATCTACGCATACCGCCGCATCGCATCTGGAAGCCGGACGTGCTGATGTACAACAGCGCCGACGAGGGATTCGACGGCACCTACCAGACTAATGTCGTGGTGAGGAACAACGGGTCGTGTCTGTATGTGCCGCCGGGAATCTTTAAGTCGACATGCAAGATAGATATCACGTGGTTTCCCTTTGACGATCAGCGTTGCGAGATGAAGTTCGGCAGCTGGACCTATGATGGATTTCAGGTTTGGTTCAGTCTCCAACAATGCACAAGCAGGGCAACCAGGAAGTACTCACAAGACTCGTAGTTGTTTTGCTTACTTAATTACACTTGAAAGAACTTTTTGATTTCCTCAGTACATTTTTCGTTTGTTTTGCTGTATTCGTTTGAAGCGAGCGAAAATATTTATATTATTCTACCCTCTCCCCGAATATCATATATATAAAAAGCTGGATTTACAATTACAAGATGAAACTGGCGGTGATATCAGCAGTTACGTGCTCAACGGCGAGTGGGAACTACTGGGTGAGTAAGCCAACGTCGTTCGGAGCGACATCCTCAACATATCCGACATATGAACAAGATTTTCACTATCCAAACCCAAACTCTCAGCAGCCGTTGCTTCTTTGGCAAGTGACTCACGTTCTTCAGACAGATACAAATTGAGAAATTAATTCAAATACTTTCCCCCCAATCTCTCTTCGCGTGTGTGGAAGTTCGTCTTGTTGCCTGTTGGCACAAACGAACAACAGTATCGCTCTTCATCTCTGCAGGAGATATTATGGTCCGTTCGAGGCCGATTACTTTTGTGTACCGAAAACACAAACACACACTTTACTTGTAACTTCCTCTTACTATCTCTCTGTCTCTCTCTCTCTCTGTCTCTGTCTCTCTATTTCTATCTTACTTACTGTCTCTAACAAAAGTATCAAAAAGCTGCAAGCAGGGTTCAAGCTGCGAACTAAAGTTCCGAACTCGTTCCGTTCGAAACTCCGACTGCGACTGCTCATCGCAAGTTGATTGAACTAGTGGCGGGGCAGTGAAAAGCACTGCCAGGCACCTTCAATCAGCTAAAGATGAGAGCGTTTATTATCACTGCTTTGACATATCTCACACTTCTCGGTCTCAGTCTCACATCATCCCATTCGAGGTCAATGAATACGGAATGAAGTAGGGCAATTCATGAACCCTGTGAAACAATCCCGTACTACATTACTCTAAACTCAACCAACTACTCTACTACTTTCGTACTTCACTAAAACCTACACGCTTATCCAGTGTTCTCCCACTCACTCTACTCTTTCAAAACAAAAAAACTCTACTTTCAATAAGACTATCACAAAATCTTTGGGCGCTTTAACTTTCAAAGTCCGAAATAGCCGCGTAAACGTTTCGATTGCCCTTTGTAAGAGCTCTGACTGGTGAAGCATACTGTTAGGCTATCCAACAGCCTAAATATGCTACTCCAATCGCAGTTGCTAATGAGTTACATATGAACCTAACCAAGAGGTAAGGCCTGGCCCGTGTATGCACTCCACTTAGATCATTTTATCCTGAAATCTATTATATAGTTTTCTTTATCGAAGCTAACGGCATGTAAAACGACTACGAATGAATGCTGAATAGAATGTATTTACATTTAACCAAAATACAAAATAAACTAACTGCAGATACAGTGACAGTTGTAGACCTAACTAAGCCTTTTTGAATTTTGAATATACTCGAGTGTACACAAAGTTAGATGAGTTGCTTTCCCTCGATGAGTTGTGGATTAGATTATGCTACTGCATAGCTCCATTCCTCTTGTATTCCCCAATTGACTTGTCCTCATTCATTGAGACTTTTAAATTAGAAATAGCAAAGCGGAATAGCAAAGTCAACTTTCTGGACTTTCGGAAAGACAAGAGAAACACAAATGAACACGGAAGCACAAAATGAAAGAAATTTAGAATAAATACGAGTTTCGAACCCCTCACAGATTGAGAGTAAATTGCACTTTTCAGCATAAAATGCAAAACTGGCAGAAAGTCAAGCCACGCCCTCGATTTGTCAAGCCAGTCAAGCCAGTCAGCGAAAATTGCCACCCAGTGGGGCTACGAGCTTTGCTCTTTAGTTCTCTTCACAGCCACGCACCAGAACCAATTAAGAAATTAAAGGACAAATACGTCTGCAGTCTCTCTCTCACACACACACATATACATATATGCACTATAAATTAGCGCTCCCACAAATACAGGGACAATTGCATAGCCAAAAAGTTTTGAGCTCCACACTAGCCACAAAAGTGAAAAAGAAAAGTTTGTGCAACAAATTTTATTTTCGTTTGCCGACTCTTTTCATTGCCCTCTCCTTTCATTTGGGTTGCATTTTTGTTGATTTCGTTTTGGCTTTTATTTTTCACTCAATGCGTAATGTTTCGGGAGTTTTCCAAAGTTTTCCGCTGGCTCTCTTTCCTCTCCACCATTGTTTTCAGTGCTCGGCACTTGCGGCCACAACCCCAGCCAGTTTATGCAAATTATTTTGAGATGGCAAAGTGCTCCCGAAATGGCAGGCGCAGAGACTGTGGTTGGATTTTAGCTAGGTCATTTTTAAAATACTCCACCAAGGCGATTTGTTCTTCGCTCTTGTAATCCCCCTGGTAATCTTGGGGTAAGTTGAGCAGATAATTTAGTCTGAAGTTTGAGCCAGCGGCCCTGCCATAGGCATACGGATTATGCTTCCTCTCTGCGAAAAGTCTTTATTGGGAATATAGTTTTGCACACATGTCGGTACAATGGTTAAAAAAGAACACTTTAAACTTTTTAGAACATTGCCCAGAACTGAGCATAGTTTTTGATCTAATAAATCGTATGTTAAACCTTACCCCGCGACCGTGGCTTCGACTCTTCTGCATAATTTATTACATAAATTCATTAATTATTCATGAAAGTTCAACACATTAATATCAACATATTGAGTACAGTATCTATTAGCTACTAGAAACCACTGACAGGGTGTAACCCAAAAGTGAACTTAAGATTTGCAATCATGAATCTCGTTTACACCATTCTACTCTCCACTTACTCTTTCCGCTTATATGCATACATATCTAACCCGCAACGAAATTTCCCTTCTCCACATAACTTTTCTTGTATTTACATTTGAAGCAAAGTGCATACAACTTTTCCCCATAGTAAATTGCTCGGCTCTGCTCTGGTCTTACTTAACTTTTCTTACAATTAGTTGCCTAGACAAATAAAACTCTTTCCGAAACTAAGTTTACACTCAACTAACTACACCCACTCCTAGTTCCAGCCCCAATCCAACTCCAAGGCATGCACAGCACACTTCACACTCAATGCTCCACACTCCCTGCTCAAGCAAACATTTCTACATCCCATGCATATCATATTCATACAATACATAAGTATATTTATAAAGAATACTTTATTCAAAATTAAGTACACAGACTTTAAAGTTTAAATGGCAAGATTACTTCTTATTACACTTACAAGCAACTCTAGTCTTTGCTCTGCTCTGCTCTGCTCTGCTCTATGCCCAAGAACGCTATCGTAACTCTTATCCAATGCTTACTTTCCTATCATACTCCTATTTAACTTGTATAATGCCAAGAAATGCTCGAAACAAATGCTCAGATCAAGTCCTAAGTAAAAGCTGCCACAGAAACATACTCGTAAACGTATACGTACCTCCGCATACGAGAGAAACAATGAAACAATGAAATGAGATGCCTTTCCACCACGAATATATCTTGTAGTAATACTTTTTGTACAATTGAACCACCGTAGGTGTTCCAGGCAAGCGTAACGAGATCTATTACAACTGCTGCCCGGAACCGTATATAGATATAACCTTTGCCATCATCATCCGCCGAAGAACGTTATACTACTTCTTCAATCTGATTATACCCTGTGTGCTGATTGCTTCAATGGCTCTGCTGGGATTCACTCTGCCACCGGACTCGGGTGAAAAATTATCACTGGGTAAGTTCTAGTGTTTTATACTCCTATTGGTTGGGGGACTGCGGTGTAGTTACAATAATTTGAAACCACTTACGCAACACAAATACTTAAGAACCATGGAGAAGGGGAACGCGAAACGCGAAACGGGAAACGGGAGCCGCCCACACATGCAAACAGCTCGAGAGCCGCTTCAAAAGTATTTGCCAAGTACTTACTTTTTAAATAATGACAGACTCGTCTACAGCTAGGGCGAATTTAAAATTAGATGCCTCCCATAATGCTGTTGATGAGCGCTCGAAGAGAGTCCACTGAGAGCCGAACCGACATGAGCCACTCACCCGCTGACTAACTGACTGAGTGACTGACTGAATTGGCGCATTACTCGTTATTGCCATCGCTCCCCTTCTTGATGTTGATGTCGCTGAAGATGACGGCATAGTACCAGCCCAGCTCCTTGCAAGCGTTGGTTTGGCAAAGAAACTATTGAACTTTTAGTGCTGCTATGACTGAGTAGTAAAAAGTGTTCAACGATCCGGGCGTAAGGAATGTTCCGGCTGGCTGTTAAGCACTTGCCTCAAATGTGCTGTCGATTGGTGGGAGGACGGGACAGGATAGGGCATTAGTGGGCTGGAAAATCAGTAGGGACTCGACGAATGTTGAGGACTTTTACTTCAGCCAAAGTTGAGTGGTCCAAACAGAAATAGATGGCTAGCAAGTGGGTGTCAAAAAGCACCCAAAAACTACTTAAAGATTCCTAGTGGCAGTATACCAAGAACCAAAGGGAGGGTTAAACAAGTGAAACGAAAGATTCTGACAGTATTAATCATACCATTCGGTACAGTATAAGCAATTACACTTTTGGGAACTGGAAAAATGGTAATAGAAAAACATTTATGCTGTAGGGCCATATAAAAAGAGCAAAAATCCTAGCAAAGACCTACTGTTAATGAACAAATGTCACATCAGACACCCATAATATACAAGATAAGAGCCTCCGTCACTTAATTGTCTTCATCATCCGATATCTAGGTGTTACAATCCTGCTCTCGCTGACCGTGTTTCTCAATATGGTTGCCGAGACTATGCCGGCCACATCCGATGCGGTGCCTTTGTTAGGTAAGACCATTTTGTTTACCGAAACTAGTCGATGGTAATGCTTCATGTAAATGTAAATGTAAATGTTACAGTAAATCGTATGATGTCGATGTTTCTACCTTTTGCTTTAAGTTTGTGTGTGTTCTTGTCCTTATTTGGAAGTGTATTCTTTTCTTATTCAATCCATATCGATACATAACTACATACACGTATATATGTACTATATACATATATGATTTAACTATATATACAAAACCCTGTAACGTTATTGCAGTTGCATATTCATTTCATATATCCATGCATTTCTAAAATGATTTTAAACTCCAAGTAAAATCCGATGATTTTATAATATTAAAACTTTGACACACAATAAAACAAAACTGTGAATTCCAACTCCGCACCATCAGTTGCCATGACTCAATTTCCTTTGGCTCAAAAGTTAAAAGATATATTTTATATTTTGACTTTGGGGTCCTTAAGGAAATCGAAACTGATGTCAAAAAAAATATTTAGAATAGTTTCTAAAATTCGTAGAGGAAGAAACTGATTAAACAATAACTAAAGGGCATTTAAATGTTGCTATTAAGCTTTTAAAATATGCCAATAACGTACATATAAACAAATACTATACCCATATATAAGTATTTTAACTTTAACAACCCAAAAATGATCAATACATATATATATATACAGAACATTCGAGCTGGTTTGAACAATGCACACACATTTGACGAGTTTCTTGCACGCTATAAACTTTTTTTCGATTGAAAAGAAATTATCAACAAGTAAAAATTATGATATGGTTGGGTTGTTCCTAATTTAATAGAAGTTCCAAATTGAATTATCTATCCTTCGGATTGTCTTCCAGGTGATAGTCACGGATAGTTTCTTAATTTTATTAGGTTCAAAGTAAATTTTTTTATACTATTATCCAATCTGTCTAGGGATCTCAATGTTGTAAATGAATAAGAATCAATTATAACTGAGTTGATATATTTATTTTAATCTATTAATATTGAGTATTAAAAAATTATCTTACATGAGAAAAAGGAGTAGAGTTAATCAAATATTCAGGAAGGAACAACCCTACCGTATGTTAACTCCAAAGAAAACTTATTTAATCGTTTCATTCAAATATTTATTCAATTTTCAAATTCGACTTCTATCTCCAGCAAAAAGTTTTCAAAACTTTAATATTCAATTTATATTATTAAATTCCGTTCTTGGCGTACGATTTCGGTGTCTAACTTCTATGTACTTTTACCTAATATTTTTCTAAAGTATTCCGACTAAAGTTACCTATGTGTGTGTGTATGTTAAAGAAAAGAGCATAAACCTATACTTGTTTTTCTTCAATTGCCAATACATTTGTTATGCCGTTAAAAGAATTGAGAAACTCAGAAGATAAAAAACAAAAATTCTTGCATTTAATGTACTAACTAAATTTTTGTATATATCTCTTGCCTTTTTTTCTTTCTTTCAAACAAACTGTGTACCTTTGACACAAAAAAAAAACTATGTGCGCTCTCAAATGCATATTAACCATACCAAAATCAAACACTCTGAATGATTCCGAACTATGAAACATGCGCTACCCTGAACAATGCTCCACAACTAACGAACAAACACATCAAACCACATCTATACCAAACCAATCTATACCAACATCTGAAACAATAAAACAAATCAATATTCACATGCACCACAACAACAATTACTCGTACATTTTCCAACACACCCAACGATATACTATATATACGTAATATATATATATTATATATATTGACAACACGCCCAACCAACCAACAGGTACATATTTCAATTGCATAATGTTTATGGTAGCTTCATCCGTTGTGTCAACGATTTTAATATTAAATTATCATCATCGAAATGCTGATACGCACGAAATGTCCGAATGGGTAAGTCACAAATAGGTCAACCCACCAACCATCCCAAACAACTACTCGTACAAGTAAAACAACAACAGCCAACCAAACTTTCCAACAAAAAGAAAATCCAAATAAATAAACCACTGCAAAAGCGACCATCACTCATCATATACGCGTACTCGTACGATATAGCCCCAGTCCATGTACGATACAGTGGTCACGGGACCACAACTGTTCTGCTGGATAGATCTGCCCTCCTGCATCATCAGGCAGGAGGCACTCCATCCTACGCTCTCCAACCATCTACGGATTGCTGGAGAGGGCGGATGGGCAGATTCCAATCCCCCAGATCCCATGACCGCTGTCGCTGGCGGTCGCTGCCGGTCCCGTGTCCACTGTCGCATAGCATTAGCATTTTTTGATATGATTTATCTCAACCAAAAAGAGAAAAACTGCTTCACGAGAGCCATGCAAAAATAATTTATGTGTTAGCTAGAAAAATGTTTTTGTGTTTCCTCTTTTCACGTTATTTACTTACTTGTTGTACTGTGTTACTTTGTGTTGTTTTCCATTCTTAAAAAATCCCAAAGCCCAAAAATCAAAACCCTAAAAAAAACTAATAAGACGCCATCAAGAAGTAAAGTAAACTTTTGTGTTAAAGAGCAATCATTGTGACCGAACACTGAACTGAAAAGTATATTTCAATGGACTGAATTTCGGTCGTTTATGGAGCGAACCGAAATGGAAAGCTGCTTCAAGAAATATTATGCCACAGGCTTTTGCAGAAATAATACAAAATATTGCATTCATTTGCAAAATTACTAAATTTTGGAGTTCTTATTAAACCAAAGATTTTATCTTTAATTCAAAATTTTTGTCCGTTTTCCTCAAGTGTTTCGAAAGACTATCTAAATCGAACAAAATTGAACTGAACCACTTCAAAACAGTACCATATTGCGATTGTGAATACTCTGACTTACACTTTTCTCCCATGTAGTAAGTTATTCTTTCAAAATTAAATTACACATCAATATTACAAATAAATACGAGTACATCTGTACTGAAAGAACCAAACTCTGTTCATGTGTTCTGTGCTCATCAGTGACAGTTGAAAAACTCTTGAAGCTCCTTGAACAAATGATTGCAAAACATAATAAAAATATATACATAGAATCTAAATGCAAAAGAAATCAGCAAATAGTTGCACAAATAAATATGTATACAATATGTTGTTGTTTGTTATCATTATAATTTTTATTGTTGTCGTTGTTGGTGTTGTTGTGTTGCCGTAACAACATTTCTGTTTCATACACAACCAGCCCGTTTATGTTGTTTGCAATTTTTCGGTTGTGTTAGTTGTGATGCCTACTTAGAGGCGCTTTTGCAAGCTGAACTTGATGTTTTTATGTTGATTTCGTTAGTATACCCAAATGTATCTCCAATGTGGTCAAAGCCCAGACCACAAAATGTCAGTCGAGTTAAATTTTAGCCAATGTTTGAGTGACCCGGAAATAAAGGAGGTCAATGAAGCGATGCGAAGCGAAGGCCGAGCCGAAATGTGACCAGACGGATGTACAGAGTACGAAATGAATGTTGTAACCATCCAACATGTCTAGCTACTATACGTGTCTACTATAAAATAATTTATGTAATGAAAAATATCGTAATGTTGATGTTGGGCCCATAATTTCTACTTATGTGTATGTATGCCACAACCCCAATCCCAATCCTAGCAAGAAACCGAATATCCCGAGACCCCGGTCCTTCCAACCACCAACCAACCATACACCCAAGTCCCGACCACGTTGAGCCCTTTTTTGCTAGTACCTCCTCACCAGTTGCACACTCTCCTTTGTATCTGCATCTCTGTACACTCTGTACTCGTACTCGTTCTACTTATATACTCGTACTCGTGTGTATGTGAAAAGAACCTACAAAAACCCAGATGACAAAGTCGAAACTGCAGTCAAATGATATATTATGCAATATGATGCGCTCCTCTGTCTGTCTTTCACTCTAACCACACACAAACGTATGCTCTCGCTCATTTATATTGTATATTTTATCTATTTTTCTGTATATAGACTCTGTGTGACAAATATATTTTTTATGTTGTGTGTGTCTGAATGAGCAGGGACTTTTTTGTATGGTCTTCGTAATTAGAGACGATTGATATAGGGCAGGCGAAGAGCAGTCAAAGCCCGACAGTAGTCTTTCAGTTGTAGATATTAGTTGGGGAACAGGAAGAGTCACAGCAAACATAATTATAAGTTATAGTGTCCCGCACAACAGAGTACATATATTTGTAAATACATTTCCCCAAGAGTAGACTGCTGGAAAGAACCACTTAAAGAGTCAAGTATTTTCAGTAATAGTATCGCAAAAAGAAAACCAGTCCCTACCGAAAGAATCTCCACCTTTACCGCAAATTGTAATATCAATAACGGGGAAAACATGAGAGGCTTCATCATGATTTTGTTACAGCACATCCAAGTGGAAAGCAATTTCTTAGCATTATTGCAATTGCCACAAAATGCATAATGAAAAGTTTGGCTAGACGAGACTCGGAGAGGGAATAAGTGAAAAGATAGAGATGAAGCAAAAAGAGTATGGGAGAAACTCAGGGGAAGTCGATTGGCTTTTAAGAAATCACTCACATGAAAAGTTTTGTATGGTTTTCGCGCAAGAATGTGGACATGTCCCCCCACCCATGTTTGGCAGACCTTTCGACATACAATTGAATTTGGAGCACATGAAGGAAAAGTCAAATCGAGAAATCGAGCACAAAGTAACAGAAAGCCAAGTGCATGGGATGGGAATGGGTATGGGTATGGGAAGGGGTATGGGAAAGGTAGGTACGGTTTGCGTCGGGTTTGACAGCTGCCCCAGTTGTGAGTTGTCCTGACACGGGAAGGAAAATTGAGCCAATTGGCGAGGCAGCTGCATTAGAAATGTGCATGCACAAAAAGTCCTTTTGACCCGCAAACTTATTCTGCTCCACGAGCCTGTCGCCTGTCGCCTGGCACTTGAATTGGCTCCAGAGACCACACTCCCTCTTCGCGGGTTGGGCCCCGTTTTTGTGTGATAACAACAAATCAATTTGCACAAAAAGGAAATATGGTAGAGGTGGAGAGACAGCACAGAGCGGTTGGTTGGCTGAAGAGGACGAGTACGTATTGATATGGATATGGCAAATGCCAGTTGTTCCATTGCAATGGTTAACTTTGCATTTAGTTTGCATGCCACGTCCTGAAGCGAATTTCCATGTAAGCTTCTCGCTTGTTAGCCAAAAAAACGAAGAACCGCCAACAAGGAACAGAAGCAAAACGATAGGACAGGACACGGGGCATAGGAGGAGCAGGAGTCGGAGCAGGAGCAGTATCTGGCAAAGTGCAAGCGAGGTTGTCAGCTGAGAGCGAGTTGTCAGCAGCTCAACTGGAATATTGTTAAGGGGACAGGAAGGAGAGAGGGACGGGCACTGTGGATGAGCTTTGGCAAAGGAGCAAAGCATGTCCCGACTATCGATTCAATTCTTGTTTCTGTGGGTTTTTCGATTGGTATTTGAATTCACTTCAACCACGTGACCAGCTAACCAGGAAGCAATGGATGTTCAATGATATTGGAAAGGGATACTGAGACATCGAAATGGCAGAGGCCTTTGATTTCAACTAAGCTGAAAGGAAGTAGTAATTGAGACATCACATCTTATATATATGATTATGGATAGTTAAATCTGAACTTTAGGCATTAGGAAGAACAACAAAAATAGGAACAATGAATAGGACAAATAGGACAGACAAAAGGATGATGATGCTTAGTTCTGGAGCCTCTACAATTATATACTATTTGAAAGCGTCAAGTAAATCGGCTCACTTCAATCGCCTCTGATGCGGAACTAGGGAATATATGTACATACATAAGTACATATGTAGTATTTGTTGCCACCATTATTGCTAGTGTTGTATGTCTGTGCGTTTGTGTTTCTTGTTTAGTGTCTGTGTATCTGTGTTTGTGTTGTAAATCATGAATTTTGCATGCATCATGGCTATAAATAAGCAGAGAACATTGCGAAGAGCGAGACTACACCCACCCACGTGCACTGTGCACACTCGCTAGTGTCTAAGTGTAATAACAAATCACCCGCCATACATACAGACATCCTGCAGCAGAGCACATGGAGGGAGCACCAACATGTTGCGCTCCAAATAATCGACTCCACAAACTTTGTTGCTTTAGTTGTAATCAAATCAAATATAAATCATACTTGTGGCCATCTGTCTGCTGGTGTGTGAGTCTGTTCATGCAAAGTAGCCATAAATCGTGGCGTGCGGGCCTCATACACACTCTCCGCCAGAGACAGAAGCCATCATCATCCCAACACGAACTGTACGAGTATCACACGCAATTGGAACATATATGAATATAATAATTTTGAGTGGGGTAATCGTTGGGCTTGTTCCACTAAACGTTTCAATTTCGCCACCTGCCGTTAGATACGCATCGTATTTTTATGCTGGCTGCCATGGATATTACGAATGAGTCGCCCGGGACGACCACTGATTCTGGAGTTCCCGACCACGCCCTGCTCGGACACTTCGTCTGAGCGCAAGCATCAGATACTCTCCGATGTCGAGCTGAAAGAGCGGTATTTAGCATAACGAGTTTTAAGCTGTTCTTGCTTTTGCTTTCACCTAATAATCAAAGCTTATTCCTTGCCAAACTTTATCGGAAATTGCATATGCATCGAGAATATACACAAGCATACATTAACCTCCGAACCAAAGTAGACTTTGGCATACCTGGCAAGCGTGCAACGAAAGCAAAAGCAGGACAGAAACAGTGCAAAATATTCATAGACCTACAGAGTGTACTTACCAAATTGTTTGTCCTCCCCCAAACGAAGCTCCTCGAAATCACTGCTGGCCAATGTTCTGGACATCGATGATGATTTTCGCCACAATTGTCGCCCCATGACGCCAGGCGGAACACTGCCGCACAACCCAGCCTTCTATCGCACGGTTTATGGGTAATGAATCCAAATATACTCGTACCAAAAGCATAATGTTCTGCAGGCCCCTGGGTCCGCATTCGGCTAAGTAGAATAACCAACTCACGTCCCATGTTTTTGGCCTTGTGCCAATTTGCAGACAAGGCGACGATGGCAGCATTGGACCAATTGGCAGCACTCGAATGCCAGATGCGGTCAGTCATCACACGTGCATCAAATCATCAACAGAATATGAATTAGGTTTAATCTTAAAGGAAATTCGCTTTATAACTGATCAGGTAAGTTGGCTGATAATCATCCCTGAATGTTGGGTGTGATATCTTGGCAAACATTATATATAATTGTTATCAGATCGTATATATATATATCGTTCACATACCAGAGGCCCCACTCAATGCCTGCATCTAGCCCTTCACCCATCATTGTTACAGATGAAAGTTAATAGTTTTGCCTCTTCTTTTCTCTCCAATTTAACTCACACACTCTCTCTCTCTCTCTATCGCTGAATACTCATACCAACCCAAACATGAAATATAACCCGCAAAAACCCACAACCAAAAACAGCTACGTAAAGATGACGAGTCAAATGACATTGCCAATGATTGGAAATTTGCAGCTATGGTCGTTGACAGACTGTGCCTTATCATATTCACAATGTTCACAATATTAGCCACAATAGCTGTACTACTATCAGCACCACATATTATTGTCTCGTAGCCATATGGGCGAGGTGGTTATTGTTATTGGTTTTATTATAAAATCAATTTGTTAATTATTAAATTAATAACGAAAATTTTTAAGTAAATTAAAACCAAAAAGAAAACACTAAAAACCACAAAAAAAGAGAAAAACACTTGATATAAATACCATTGACTAAATAATACACAGAAAAAATGCTTAAAAAAAAATAAACAAAATCTTGTCTTTAAAACGCAATAATTTAAATATAAACAAGTGAACTCGTTTAAAGAAAGTCTTTCGTAAAAAAACACATACACAACAAGAGACTTAACAAAAAATCATGTACTACCATTGTTTACAACATTTTTAATTCCAATTTTCCTAATTCTGTAGAAAACAATATCTAAAAACTGATAATAAATTAAGTTTAAAAAGAGTACCCCCAAACCTCCTCTCCCCTCTCCCAAACGACATTATCTCATTCTTCCACTGAATATACATACATATACACACATATATATGAATGCAAGCAAAACGGGTATATTTTCCTTTAAAGTTTTTATATTTTTTTTAATAAAGGAGAATACTTATTGATAAAAAATAGACAGATTTTCAGATTTTTTTTTTTGGATACGCTTGAAATTATATTGCTGTTTTTTGAGAATTGAAGCAAGATCCCAACAATTTTTGGAAGACTTCATTTTGTGAGCTTTATAGTGAGAAATTGTAGATGAAAATAAATTCTAATATAAATAATTGTACACACTTACTCGGACTAAGTGAATGTATGTATGTATAGGGGATTGGAACCAATGTTTTTGAATCAACAGATGAATAATAACCAGATTTGTGGCTAGCCCATGGAAGTCCCAAATTCCAAGGAAAACTTTCAGCGAACTTCATTTATAGTCACTTAGGGAAAATACACAAATTTCGCCTTTCTTCTCCTCTCTAGACAAAAACGCATTTCTAAAACAGAACCAATTAACCTAACATATCCACTACTACGTAAATGTATACCCTCCCCGTTGTAATTTTTACTTTGAACAGAACCCCATAGGATAAACACAAAAACCCAAAAGCAAATCCAAGCCCAAACCCAAACACAAATCCCAAAATCCCCTAAAAGTCCATTAAACCCATTAAAGCAAACCAAAACCAATAGAATAACCCATCCAAATTGGAATTAGAAAAGAATTCACAAAAGTTTAACTAAGAAAGAAAAGAAAAACGAGAAATATGACGCGAATGAGATTTATCCAGTGATTTTGAGTGAACCAGCCCATTGCGCACAGCAGTGGGAATGTTTCTCATAGATGGCATTCCCTCTAGATTGGCGCGGCAGCGAGGCAAAATTGATCAAATTTAATGGCTGCGAGCAATAATATCTGCGTGTTGATGAATTGCATGATTTTTTGGTGATGCAAACGATGATCGAGCGAATTATTGCATGGACCTATGCAGGCCTCGTGCAAGAGTTCGCTCATTCATCGCAGTGAGAACAGCGAAACATCGTACACAGTCTAACTTTTGGTATTGATATGAGCTATTTATAATTTATGATATTCATTTTTGATTTAATATTGAATACTAAAAGTTTATACACTGTACAAACACCAGAAGCAATTCACTACAAACAAAACAAAAGCTGAACAATGAATAGGATAGAGAGGCAAGTCGAACAAATACGATTACCGATATATACTCGATATATAAACATATATACCAATAACAATGAACATCACAAGACCATAGAACTCACAAACATGCCGGTGCATGGGTAATTATGTGCTTCGCTTTAGTATTGAGCGCACAAAACATACATACTTGAAAACGAACAAGAACAAACAACACATATACTCGTAACCCAAGGAGCTTTATACAATTATATACATACTCGTATGATAGAGGCGATCTCTGCGATCGGGAGTCAGTCTAGTCGGACCTAATCTCTCATACATTTGATACATACATATGTAGATACATACTATGTAAATCCACTACCAAATAGTCGATTGTTGGATGACTCTTCAATCCTTAGAGTATGATCTTACAGTATGTTACTGTCCGCTAACTAGCCAAGCACACAATTTCTACAACAAAACAAAATAAATAACACATGCAACAAAATCTTAAAAATTAACAAGGCATGGGAGTCGGTCGAGAAACTGCTAAGAACAAGACGGAGGAGAAACTCTGACAGATCTCTTTTACAGACCCGAAGATGATCCCAGGCCAGAGTCTTTTCCTTCCTTGTTCCAGTGTCATTTTTCTCAACTGAATACCCAATACACAATGCCAAAAGCGAACGAATGAAATAAAAATTGAGTTTGACTAATTTCACACAACATTTTCTTTCCACACAAAAGAAAACGTTAAACATGGAATTAATTTTTTAATTTTTAAGTTACAGTTATTCTGCTTCTAATTGTAAATCTTGTGCAATGAAAACAATCAGAATTTTTCTTTGAATATAAACTAAGCGAACAAAAAGAAACGAAACAGAAACCAAAACTGATACAAGCAAACAAAAAAGGCAACAGCAAAAGCAAAAGCAAAAGCAGAGAAAAACAAAACAATAATTTGCAAGAATAAATAATGGGAAATATGATAAGTAACTAAACGAAATCACACAACTTAGTCTAAGCCACACAGATTACACAGACCGAGAAACTCGTAGCTGTAATTAAAATTCTATCCAAAGAGCTGAAAGAAACAGAGATACGAGTACAACCACAACAGAACAGCTAGCAATAGTTTTAAGAGCAAACCAAACGAGTATATTGAGGAATGGTTCCACTCGTATTCGGATTATTTTTATTTTTATGACTTTGGGTTTTAGACAATTTTGAAGCAATTTTATATCGAATTTTGTATGCCAGCCATTTTATAGCTATACAATCTTTTGATTAAACCTTTCCATTTCATTTTTAACGTTTATTTTTTGGGAACAGTTTGAATTTGTATTTATGAATAAGGCTTAGCTTTTGATAAACGATAAATGGGGTAACCAAAATGTATGTGGAATGCAGATTAGTGGATTTTGATGAAAGGTGAAATTCGATGTATTTTTTGTTAGATGCCTACCAGATCAGCGGGAATACAAATAGATCAGAGACAGATAGACAGATTTAGTGGGGATTTTTGTTCGTCTTTTTTGATATGGATATACGTTTATTTTGTATGCTTTTCCAAGTGAACGTCAGTGAGAACAATTAACGATAGATTTCAATCCTACTCATAAGAATATCTATAAATAGAGAACATAGCAACAAGCTGCCAGCATGAGAAATAAAAACAATAACTAATTTTAAATGTTTTATACATTTCCATCAATTGTGCTCATTTAAAGAAAAGTCAGAAAAGCGGAAATAAACTCAAATAAAATAAACCAGCTCTGGACAGATTCGATACAAGCAGCAGTCGATACGGGATTATGTTCAACATTCAATTAGCTGAAGTTGAAGGAGCGTCTACACATAAGCAATTTTTAAACGAAATGTCACCCAAGTAAATAGATTTAGAAAATAGTGAGGCCCCACGAGGTGGAGGAACCTAATCGAACATATTATTCACATCCAGACAACTGGTCAAGTTGGTTGGGATTAATACTCGTACTAATACCTACATTTCTAGGGCATAAAAAGGACAGCGTTTTGGAAAGCGTTTCTTTCATCATACATACATACGATACGGTACACAACACATGCATATATACAATATGTACATGTATGTTTAAATGATATACATATGCATATGTGTGAGTGCAGACATATATATATATATATATATACTTCTTTTTTACACTGGCAAACAAGTATAGAGTATACATACATATAGCATATATACCTTGTAATACATAATACAAGAAAATATTTGAAAGCAAATGAAACTTTTTCCTACAACTAGTTGCATTTAAATGAATTTTAAAAAATATACCTAAAAGTATATATTTATTAAAAAGAAAAGAAAAATGAAACAAAACAAAAATGAAACACAAAAACCAACTCTTTCTCTACTAAAAACCAAACCAACAAACAGAAAAAGAAAAGAAACTTTAATATAACATTTAATTAGACATTTAATAAGGGTTATGTGAAAACAGAGTCAAGCGAGAAGAATCGTAAACTAGTAAATATTTAAATTAAATTAATTTTAAAAAGTGAAGAGCAAAACAAAAGAGAAGCGCTGATTTTTTATGTCGTTATTAGTATTTAAATTTAAATAATTGCATATAAAGAAAACAGAATAAAGAATTAAATGACAAAACCAAAAATATAAGATATAATAAACAAAAAATTAGAAGAAAATTGACAAATTGGTCATTTTGACCTAGTAAATTATAGAAAAAAAATAAAACCAAAATTGAAAGTAAAATAAAAAAAAAAACAAAAAAACATAAGAAGGAAACCCGAGAAAACGATTGTAAAATTTTAATTATTATTATTCAATAATAAATACAAAAAAATGAAAGATTTGACAGAAATACCATAACATACAATTAGGTTTTATTTCAATCCAACAATTCCAACTTCAACACTTACTCGTAAATACATTGGAGAGAGGATCCTGATGCTCAAGACGAAGATGAACACGCCTTCAAAATTCGGAAAGGTAAATTGGGTCTCGTCCTAGACATAAGATGATAATTAAGACACATGCAATGTACAATAGAACGAGTACACGTTAACACCAAGCACATATCTGATCAATGTAAATATGTACAAACGTTCAGTCGATAAATATTCATAAAATCCTATTCCATAGCATCATGAGTTCATTGCAAAACGACACTTGAAAACTTGTACAAAAAAGAGCATAGTTTACTTAGTAATAGAGAAAAGCTAACTTTATAAAAACTGAAGAAAAAACAGGACATTGCTCTGATATCAATACTATATTCAAAGTGTTAAAATTTCCCGTCTGACTATCAAGAAATAGAAGCTTGCAAATTTTACTAACGAAAAATTCTGATTCCCTGCGCAGTTTGTCAACAACCAGCTGAAAGTTAAATTAAAATCCAGTCGTTCCTTTACGATCTCCATAAAACAGAAATAACTATAAAACAAAAAACATATGTATATCCAGCTAGCCAATCAACAGATCTTATCCTCGTATATCAGAATGGAAGCTGCGTGTATGTATGACAATTATTTAACCAAATCTCATTTTATTATCCAAGAACGCATTGCCACTTTCCGCCATTAATAATTGCCTATATATTTGAAATTTTCGGCATGATTTCTTTATATCCTACCGCTATTTATCCAATAACTAAACTCTAATTTCTAAAATGCTTTTTAAAATTATGCAAGATTTCCCTGCAAGAAAGTCAGACTTCCCAATACTCGTTCCCTGTTTATACATTTGTTTTAGCATGTTACCCTTTCTTCCTATTATACAATTTATTAACGACCTATTTTCTTCTTGAATGCCATCTAAATTGCGAGTAATACATCATGGAGACGGAGAAAGGGTGAGTGTATTAAAATTTGACCACAAAAAAATTGTTGTATTAATTGTAAATTTTTTATAGAATAAACTCGATGTTTATCGATAACATTGGATACATTCAATTAGCAGATAATGGAATATGGAACGTCTTGTGGAAGGATCATCATCATAATTATTAGTATAGTCCTATACAAATGAGTGTTTATTTTAATTTTAACTTTCTTAAAATGCTTTTGTGTACGAGTTTAAACATATTTATTCAGTTTCAAATAAAATTTGTAACGTTTTGAAATCACTTGGATGATCTTGACACAACACAATTATGTTTCGTTCTTTAGTATATGTAAGCAAAAACACATGCTGAGCTCCAAGCAGCCAATGGGAAATAGATTGAATGTCTTTATAATTCATATATTTAATCTAAGTATAAGCCAACGGGTAACTACAGATATGTACATGTACATATGTACAATACTTATGCACACATATAAATTTATCTGTAGCTAACCGTTTATGCCCCATATGAATCTTTGGGAACTCAGAATGCTGGACATAATTTATTTTTAAGACATTAGAAGTTAAGCACTGCAAAAAAGAGAACTGCGTTGGATATCATTTCGGACCAATCGACGACTTAAAAACTGACGGATGATGAAATGCGATATGGGATGGATATGGGATCAGCCCGACACTTTATAAACATATGTATATCGTTTGAGATTTAACAAACATTATTTGGTTAGATAAGCATAAAAGATTGTGTATCATATGATATAGAATCTTACATACATTCGAATTGGATCAATAAAGAAATGGAGATTGTATACCCAGCTGCGTAAACCTACAACGGACTAGCTAAAAACTGTATTCGGTTGTAAGCTGCCACTTAAAAGAACTATCTTCGACTATATATTAATAAGAAAAACAATTAAAAATATTAATAAATTTATTTGAATCACAATTTTAATGAAATACTTAGGCACTTCTGGATTCTTCGAAGTTTCATAAACTGTAGGATATTTCCATGATACCCCACAAAAAGAATGATTCCTGCTTTGGTCTCTATTTTGATTTCTATTTCTCTATTTCGTTTGATTTCAAATTATGGGCAAACGTTTAATACAGACAATAAACTTGTTTTTTCTTATATAAAAAATTATCAATTGAATTTAAAATAATGTTACAATGTGCAATTGGCCATAAAAAGTTGTTCAATGTCCATAAAATCAAACTAGGATATACATACATACGTATATATGTATGTATGTAGATTAATAAAAATTTAAATATGCTCTGTCATCAAAGTCTGTACATTTTATTGTTAAGTTTCTAGCCATTGATGCGCATCGCGCTCGTACAGAATAAATATTTTCCATCTATTGAATAAACCTTCACTCGATCAGAAATATTTACTTTAGCAATTTGTAGTTGTCGCATTTTGCTTCAAAACCGGGATTAATTGTTATGAGAATTTTGTGCCTTGATGTCTAATAAACACGGTTGCCTGAGATTAAAAAACGGTTTGGTCACTCTTTCTGGTTTTTTTTTTTTTGAGATAGTTGAATACGCAGAATAGAATGATCGTCATATTGGATCATCGTCTTTCTTAAAGTAGATAAAACTTAAGAGAATTAACTGAAATGTTTGAATTTATTTAATATACAATTTGAGTACTGCCACATCTTTAAAAATAGCTGAAAGTCAGTGACAACGTTGCCACCATCAAAAATCGATTTCATAGTAAGAAGTAGGGGGCGCCAGTGAGCACTTAGAAAATAAGTCTCATGCCAGCTAGCTTTTGTCAGAGTGTCAATTCGAACATTTGATATAATTATTTCGACAAGCAAGGTCCCCTGACACATTCTGAGATGTATAATTCTTATCGATAGGCTTATCAAATATATATTGGCGTAATGGATTCACCTTGTTGTGCCAGCACACCCAGGAATGTTTAAGTAAATAGTATGTAAAATGTCACGTAGTATTTCGCAGCAAACATATGATAACGGTTTTTCACACATTCATTTTTACGAAAAATGCCTGGCTTTAGAAAAAAACAACAAAATGGTTTGATCCAAGGTTCCATATTTGTTGCCTAGTTTAACATAAGGAAACTCTTTACGTGATAATAAATATACACGGATGTATGTACCTACATATTTACATGTACTTATGTACACAGCACTCGCGTTAAATCTTATTACTTTCCACATTCTATGACAAACGCTCAGCAATGACTAAATTTTTCGACCACAAATACAAAATACCCTTTAAATCTTTTGAGTACCGGGTATAGAAACACATAGGGAAAGTCGAACGCTCGCTTTCTCAAGAAAAAAAAATGAATGGATATAAGAAAAGCCAAAGTACTATACGACCTCAAAGACGACGAAAACTAGAGCTCGACGAACCTTATCTCTTGCAATTAACATGGAGCTAACAGAATGCCCCAGAATGCTCTTTTTATATTTTGTCTCATCCCCTCATAGAATATCGCTGCGTTTGATCCAGACTGCTGAGTGTTTCTCCCAAGGACTTTACATAGATTTACCCTGGTGTTCCTCAGTCAAAGATCTGATATGTGAAGAGGAAAAATCATTTTTAACGAAATTTGAAGATAAGGGAATATTCACTTGCTCCACAATGTTGAAATCTAATTCACGTTTGATAATGGCTGCATAAGAATTGGGTAGAGAATACAGAATAATTGTTTGATCATGGTAATAGAAACAACCACATTAAGAACATGCACTATGAAACTCAGGCCCTCTAAATGGAATAGATAGGGAAGACATGGTGGCAGGTGCAATTACTCTTTGTTCTAAAACTGACAAATACCGACTATATTCCTCCGCTGTCATCCAAGTCAAGGTGCAAAATTGACCTCCCATCATCCCACGCCAAGCTGAATCAAGATGAAGCCTTTTCTTTTGAGACTTTGTCGGAACGCTGTAAGCGACTACAAGAACTTATTTAGATATATGTATACATATTCCGGAAGAAGCTGCAGCACTCCAACTAGAAAGTGGGACTGCAGCAATAACATCAGCGATCCGAACATAAGCATCATTCAAGCTGCTCTAAAAAAATAGCGATACTGAAACCATTGATCATTTGTGAGTTATTTATTAATGTGTGTGTTAATTTATGAAATTCCTGCCTTGGCGCCTTTCCTAAGCTTGTATGGTAATACCTATGAGATGGCACTGTCCCTGCGGCTAGAGTTCTTAAATATGCTTAATTTATTTGTTTGCTTACAATTTTTTTTCTATTTAATTCATGCTATTTTTTAGCTCTCGTAAATCAAACAAACCCGGTGATAAGCACACAGGCATATGGATATACACGAATACAGTAGGCCCTCCGCCGCATTGAAGTGGTTTGTACATTGAATGAGAAAATCAACTGTAATTCGCCTGCAACTGCAACACCAGAACCCACCGTTAAGTGTGCTGCGTTGTTGTTACTGTTGCGGCATGTTGCGAAAAATTGCATTGCAAATACTCAAACCCTGACCATCAGAATGATAAGGGCCGACAGGGCAACCCACTCTTCATCTATGCCTATGGCTGTTTCGCCCTTCCATCTTTTTTTTTGTCTACATTACACATTTTTGTGCGTGAAAAAAAAATGAATTAAAATATATATTTTTTTTTTTCGTATATAAAACGATGAACAAAAGCGGTTTAAATATGTATATAACTATGCTGCAATCTGTGCCCGTGTGTGTGAGAGCGGGTGTATATAGGAGGCTCCCGTAATGTAGTTGTTGTCTGTGCATGTTTGTGTATATAGAGAGAGAGGTGAAGAGGGGTGAGGTGGTTCCTCCTTCTATGTACCCGCACACAATCCCATTCCGCACAGCGATGGCAACAACAACAATGCACCTTTGTTGTACATTAAAACTGGCTCCTGTCCCCAC